ATCACTGGCCGCAGATGATCAGATTCCATTGATTGTCCAATCAGTGCTGTGGGAAATTTAGTTCGCTTAGTAGTCAAAGTGTGACTGTCGTGATAGTATGTCATACAATAAAAAAAAGTATGCTTATCTCTTGAAATTGCATTTACTTTTTTCTGTTTTTAATAAAATCTTGAATTTGTAAAAAAAATATATTTACTTTTCACTAATGAAGGGTTGGGCGGCCCAGTGGTCCAGTGGTTAGCGCGTCCACCTCAGAGTGCAGAGGTACCGGGTTCAGTTCCAGCTCCGGCCTCCCTGTGTGGAGTTTGCGTGTTCTCCCCGTGCCTGCGTGGGTTTTCTCAGGTCCAGTTTCCTCCCACATTCCAAAAACATGCATGGCAGGCTGATTGAATACTCTAAATTGTCAATCAGTGCGAGTGTGAGCACAGATGGTTGTTCGTCTCTGTGTGCCCTGCGATTGGCTGACAAGCGGTTCAGGGTGTCCCCCGCCTACTGCCCGAAGACGGCTGGGATAGGCTCCAGCACCCCCCGCGACCCATGTGAGGATAAGCGGATTTGAAAATGAATGAATGAATATGAAGGGTTTGGTGAATGTGGATATTAACTGGTTGGGTTCAGTACCTCTAAGAAGGTTAAGAACCACTGATTTAGAATGTTCCCTTAACCTCTGGTGCATATTTTTGGAATGTGGGAGGAAACTGGAGTACCCGGAGAAAACCCACAAAGGCACGGGGAGAGCCTACAAACGCCACACAGGGGGGCCGGAGCCAGAATTGAACCCTGCACCTCTGCACTGTGATATGGACGTGCTAAACAGTTGACCACCGTGCCGCTGAGCATCTATGTCATGCAGTGTCATATGACTCTGTTTAAAAAATGTCACTATTAACTCCACTTGGAACTTTACATTCTGGTACATAAAAGATGCTGTGTTGGTCTGAGTTTGCAAAATGTCATGCTCTGTGGAAAGCAATGCGCAACTTGTGCTGGACACTGAAAAATAGACGTAAGCGTCCAGAACTCAAATTGTTTTTGAGTGATGCAACAGATCTAAATTTGGGGGAATCCAACTTTTTGAAGTTGATCAAATTTTATATATTCATACAGTATATAGAACTCTTTGTCTGGTGAGCCTATTCTGCCATTTAATGCATTCCCTCCTCACAAAAAATAAAAGTAAAATCAAACCCATCGTTGCTGAACTTTACTTAATTTATATTGTGTTCAACCTTAAAATCAAAAATATTTTTAATCATCTTGATGAAAAAAAAATGACATCCATGACTCAGCAGATAAACAGCATCAAGCTAACTTTTCTGACCATATGCACACTGCTAGGTAAGTACGCAATTTTGTTTTTTATATTATTCTATTATTTTTCAAGGTTTTCATTGGTAGTAAAGTGTCAAACCGATGCACCACTGTTAGTAACATCCCTCCGTACACTTTGCGAACTGCTTCCCCTCATGAGGGTTCCGGGCGTTCTGGAGCCTATCGCAGCTGTTTTCGGCCGGTAGTGCGGGGGACACCTTGAACTGGTGCCGGCCAATCGCAAGGCACCCAAAGTTGTCCCTTGTTTATTCAAGAGCTATGATTTTTTTCTCTGAACAGTTAGCAGAGCAACTAACATGTGTATGTAATTTTCAGCAAAAATTCGAAAATTTGAATTGATTTTCAACTCTGTCATTATAATGACATTATTTTAAAAATCTAATCAGAAGGCCTATTTAGATTAAATGAAACATTTGCTAATTATGAGTCAAAATACTTTTTAACCAATATTACTTAAAAATGTGAATTTCACGTGTCTTGAGTATCTGCAACAAACATGGCAAAATATATGATATGACAAATAAAGCTATAAAGCTCGGATTTGAGCTTGGCAAATCAAATTATGTAATGGTTTATTATCTTCTATTTTTGTTGAAAACACACCAAAAAGTTGTGAAACAAATTACTTTGAATTATGAAACGGCTTATATAAGCAGAAGTTAATGTTAATCTTATTTTCCATCCATTCTTTATCCAAGCCGCTTATCCTCATGAGGGTCACGGGCATGCTGCAGCCCATCCCAGCCATCTTTGGGCAGGAAGTGGGGTACACCTTGAATTGGTTGCCAGCCAATTGCAGGACACACGTCAATGAACAACCATTGACACTCCTAATCACATCTCGGGACAATATAGAGTGCTCATATAACCTACCATGCATGTGTTTTCGAAGGTGTGAAGAAAAAAAAAAACGGAGTACATTAATCCCTCGCTATACCACGATTCATATTCCACGGTTTTGCTGTTTTATTTTTGTTTTTTTTTACTGTCCATTGTGTTCTGCAGCCTGATTTGCGAAGAGACTGTAGCCCTATGTTAACAGTCTCCGCCCCTCATTGCTGCACATTTTGCCAAATTTTCTCCATGACCAACCCACAATGTCGATGAAACGTTCTGTACAGTTTCGACAAACTGTCGGTTTCATTCATTACAGTATTGTATTGGATGTAATGATTGCAAAAATTAAAGATGACTACTTCTTGGATTTCACTTATAACAGGTTCTTTGTGGAACGTAACCAACATGATAAACAAGGGATTACTGTACACAGAGAAAAAAGGAAAACATGCAAATTCCCCACAGGAAGAACGGAGCCGGAATCCAAACCCAAAGCTCTGCAATGAGAGGCAGATGTGCTCACCAGTGGACAGGCGTGCCGCTTGTATAGTATTTTGTTGTTTTTCATATGTACAGTGGTTAACTTCTTTTGACGTGTGAGGTACATCTTTAACAAAAACTGCAATTCATCGGTCATCATCTTTGCATTTGTTGATATTTAATAAAGTTAAGCTGTTGGTTAAAAAAAATGGCCTTTCCTTTTTCAGGTTTTGGAGTAATGATAGTATGGCCGTGGAAACATATTCCTTGCGTTATTTTCATTTCCATTTGTTCTCTGTTAACACATCTGCAGTCCTTACAAGCTGGAGGTTGATAGCGGGCAGATACCCCTTTTAGAGGTTTAACCCTTTCAGGGACAGCGGTTACTAGAGTAGACAGCTATTCAAATGTTGTTCTCTCTTACATTAATTCATTTTCTGTCACAGTTGTGCATCAACCACTACAATGGACCCTTATGTGTGTTGCCATCCACTGCCATTATTTTTTTCCATGCCTAAAAACTAATAAAGTGAGAAGGAAATTATGTATAACCAAAGTTATCAAATGTAATGATCTGTTCAGATCATGTATTCAATCATATATCACAATGAAAGTTACACACTTATACTTGACACATATATCCACATATAGTCTTCTAAAACATGTACTCTTCTATATCCTATTTTGTTTCATCTCATTTTAGTATTGTTTCATCTCATTCTAGTTTTGTTTCAACGTATTGTAGTGTAGGGAAGAGCATACTAACCACAATCCCAGGAAGGAACATGGGGTCAGGACAACCTGGCCGCCCAGAAGCCAGGTGCAAGGGTAAACAAGTATTTTTCAATAAAACAAATGTCCAAATAAAACAAGGGTTAAAGTTTTCATATAAAAATCCTGACGTAGGTTGTCATTATTTGAGCATGAAAGAGTTAAATGCTAGAATCGGTTCCTTTTTTTAATACACTATAAATCAGACTTGGTGGCATGATATTCTCTTGATTGCTTCTGCTGTTTGACAGAAGTTAGGATCAAACTGACAGTGCCATCTAATTTTAGTGAGGAAGCTGGGCACACGTGAGGCAAACGTGCGTTTTCATCAGTTTACACGCGGCTCTTGTGACTATCAAACAATTAAGTGGGCTTTTATCACCACATGTTTAAATTGGGTTGGCTATCACCTCGTACAAAACCGGAATCAGGTGTAAGCACTTTTCACGGCCACGTATTTTCTCCAAATTTCTACAAATGTTCCACGCTAATGAATATACTTGTAAAATGAGTGCAGCACTGCAAAATTAGAAATGACTACATATTCTTGCTTTTATTACCGCATGTGTTCAACCATATCGGGTGGGTTGCGTTTATGCTTCAACCAATACTTGGTTCTTGTGTTTGATCCTTCCATATGGAAACAACCCTCCTGCAAGTGTTTGGCTTGATGATGACTGAGGGCAGTGTAAATCTGTGACTCGGCTGCAGACTTGCAACGATATAATTGGAGGAGTGTGCCATAAATAAAAGTGTGTTTGAATAGGCAGAGGGTTTTCAGTGTGTGTGTGTGTGTGTGTGTGTGTGTGTGTGTGTGTGTGTGTGTGTGTGTGTGTGTGTGTGTGTGTGTGTGTGTGTGTGTATGCGCGCTAGAGAGAGAGATTTTTTTTTCTGTTAAAAAGAGACTTGAACTGCCGTTTAACAGTCTGTGTTATGACAGAAAATACAATTTCGAAATGAGAGTTTATAAAAAAAAACGGACAAGAAACTATTTGTCAGCCTTATGTTCACAAACTAATGCCTCCAAAGTAGACCATAAATACGTCAGTAGGTTAATCACCGATAACAACGAAACTTTAAAACAAATGTGGAACCCATCATTAACTCTGTACATTTTAAAATCGTTTTTATTTATAAGTGTTTTCTTTTTATTAACCGCACTGTGCGCATGCTTTTAATCCCAAAAGAGAAAAGGAAGACAGCATAAACAAACACCATCAATCAAAAAAACAAAAAACAAAAAAACAACTAAAACGATAAACGGCAATTAAAGTGTTTTAAAAAAGAGACCCGACCTACTAAAACGGCATAAATAGGCAGTTTCATGTTGTTGGACATTTCATTAATTGCTACGCCATCAACTTCATCATTAATAACAATTGCCATAACAACAACAACATAGGAGTGAGAAGTACAGTAAAAAGTGCACCATCATCATCATCATCATCATCATCATCTTAACTTAAAAACTATACAGCTGCCAAAGATAAAATTGTTAATGACAAACTTCGAACAATATAGAAATGTTTCCACGACAAGTGTTCAACAAAGAAAGGACGCTATCATTGTTGTATCATTCTTTTTTCTTCTTCTTCACTAAAGTAGACTATGTTGGATTGATTAATCCCGCCCTTATTAATTACTTTTGCACATATTTTTTTCCTTTTCTTTTTTTTTTTTTTCATTCCTTACGGTCAGCAGAACTGGGCACAGGGGCCCCTTCCAGTCCTATCAGATAGCCAGTCGCCGTTTTGGAAACTAAAGTTCGGTCCCGTCGATTGAAACGTGGATAGAGAGCAGGACAGCCAAATCCGCAATTCAGACCACCACCAACTCGCCCCATCATGCCAAATCAAACTCTTTTTTCCCCTACATTTGCTTATGAGTTTTCTCACAGCAATCATCGCCCAAAGCGGGCTGTGATCCAGCTGTTCCCGCTACCGGCACCGAACCACCACCGCCGCCGCCGCCTCCTCCTCCGCCCTCGCCGCCTCCTCCACCTCCCGCAGCGACTGCTCCGCCATCCCGTAGCTCCTTCTCCCTCCTCTCTCTCTCCACCGCCTCCTGTTCGCTTTTGCTGCTGGGGAACTTGTCCTTGTTGTTCTCCTTTTTCCATTTCATTCTGCGGTTCTGGAACCAGATCTTGACCTGCCGTTCCGTCAACGCCAGCGCGTGCGACACCTCGATGCGGCGCTTTCGGGTCAGGTACGGGTTGAACAGGAACTCCTTCTCCAGTTCCAGAGTCTGGTACCGGCTGTACGTCTGCCGGCCTCGCCTCCTTCCGGCAGCTACTGGGGGAGGTGGTGAGAACAATGAGGCAGATTGGGACATATTATTAGAGAGTGGATGTTCCAATCAAATAGTCCCCCCTCGCTCCCCCCAAAAAAATGAAATAAAAAATAAAAATTAATAAAATCTATCGAAGAAGTAGTTTTCAACTGAGAGCAGTCCGTGCACAGCAGAGCTATAGAGGAAAATATTTCCTGTGTGTTTATATGATTCTGCAACACTAATAAACGATCCAATAAATGGAAAAAATTCAAATGAAGCGTGAGGGAATTTGGTTTGTTCGCTCTGCACCATCGGAACGGTTTCGCAGATTTGTTGCACTGGCGCAAAAGCAGTTCACAACTCCAATATTAAGTTAATAAATGATTAATTAACCGAAGCCATTCTAAGTTGTTTCCTATTACTCATCCACATATGCCACAATTCACACATAAGGTCAGGTTCGCTTTCCCTCCAAATACTCGCAGTTATAATTAACCACACCCGGTGATCATTTCATTTGAATCTTAAACCCCACGTGCATTAGTTCAACGGGGTGCAATGAAACAAAAAACGGAATGTACATTTTTAATTTAAAACCTCAACATGATTTCTCATACGGTGCAGTCTCAATTTTCATCAACATCAAAGGATAGACTAAAAAAAAAGGAATATTAACACATTTTACAGTGAATGCTTGGCGTTCGCCTCCCGACAGATTACACACATGGGGCATTTATGTGAGTGATTATATTTCCATAAAACTGTTTGTCCTACGTTTTGATAGCCTACCATAAAAGGGGATGGATGCGGCACGCGGACAAAATATGCCACTCGTCATAACGATCACACATTAGAACGGGTAAATCGTGACGGGTGGACAAAACTTCGTCACAACAAGTTCAAATAAAGACAAAATCTGAATGGAATTGTCAGCGCAATTGTTTCCACGTTGCAGCAATGAGTTTGCAATACACGTCGCTGTTTCCAAGAAACGATTACAATTCATTTTGGGGACATATTGTTGTAGAAATGTCACTAAATTGTTTAAAGAGGGCCCACGCTCCTCAGACATGAAAAAGAAACCTCCTCCTTCCCGGTTTGAGCGATCTGGTATTCGGACTAAAGTCAAGTATACAACTTGTGGTTTCAAAAAATAAAGGAGCGTTCTCAAGGGGTTTAAAAGGGGATTTCCCAAACGACAGCACAAGAACAATTTTGCGTTTAGTGCTGACACGTTTATTGAATGACTGAACACAGAAATGACCGCGCAGAAATCCTGCCTGTTCTTAGATTACTTTCGTGTGTGTGTGTGTGTGTGTGTGTGCGCGCGCGCGTAAGGGTGAAATTTTCCTTCGTGACTTTAGCGCGCCACAGAGCTGCATTACATCGAGCTTCGAACATGGCGCGCCTTTTCCTGTTTTGAGTCTCATCACTGAACGCAGAATTTATACAAAACGATTCATCACCGGACAAATAATGTAAACTGGGCTCCCTCGGATGAATCTCGTCTTTGCTATAGCTTCATATGAATAGCCGTGAATCGCGCAGAGGTGTTAGGAAAATTAGAAAGCACCAAACACGCGACCAACGTCTCTGGCGTTATACACAAAGGACTGACACGTTGCCAGAAGGCACTGCAGTTGACACAGGCTTGTGAAACGGGCACGCGGAAACATAAGTGAACTTGTACACTGCTATTTTACCAGCATCGATTCACCATTGCTGAAGGGCAACAAGGGAGAGATGCCGTGTTTAGCTTTTATTGGTATTTTTGCTTGACGGTCGTCAGCAAGCTAGCTGTAAAATGATGACTCGGTCATTTGCGATCTTCACCTAAACCAATGAAATAAATCAAAACAAAGTGTTGGAAGAAAGACACACTGCACAATAAAGGTACTGTGCCACTGTTTCGATTTGAAATAAAGAATGATTCGGTTTCAGTTAGCGCAAATTCTCCCTCTGTTTCTCTTTCTCTCCCTCTCTCTCTCTCTCTCTCTCTCTCTCTCTCTCTCTCTCTCTCTCTCGCTCTCTCTCCTCTCTCTCTCTCTCTCTCTCTCTCTCTCAAACACACACACACACACACACACACACACACACACACACACACAATGCACGCACTGTATCCCTGCTAAAACTAACATAAAAAGGAAACTCAATTCTATTTTGTCTCCCTGTCGTCCTACCCCCCCCCCCCACATCTCTCCCATGCAGGCAGCATGGCCCCCGTGTAGCTAAATAATTCAGAAGACCACAAGAAAGTCGTAAAAGGGAAAATGCAGTAAAAGTTTAACCCAGGTCAGAGCTGCGTGTCTAAAGCAAGTCTTTGAGAGCTGCGAATACTGTTGTACCGCCAACAACTATTTCCCATCTGGTGCAGACGGGGCTTTCTGATGAGGTTCACTTCTTCCTTCTCTGGTCTGCGCCCCCCTCCTCCCCCCGCCGTGCCCCCATCCCACGTCCCGTCCCCTTCACACACAACCATTCTTTCCATAGTCTGCTTCCCTTCTCTGTGTTCGCCCATCCACCACAGTATGATTGGTGCAATTTAAAACCCTGAAGTCATTCACAAGTTTTGGTGCCGGCAATAAAACCATAAACATGTCTTTGTCTTCCGCTTTGACCACGGAAGCCCCCCCCCCTCCATTACCTTTATTAAATAGTACATTTCCAACTTTTGTCCTCTGCTTCCCGCAAACTCTCAAATATTCTGCCCTCTCCACCAAGAGTAGCGGGTCGCAGATTTGCTCCTATTTCTTCTTTACGAGGATGTTTCGCAAACAGAGAGAAAAAGTTCTTACCTTGCGGCCTCATCCAGGGAAAGAGCTGCGTCGGTGAAGGGCTCTGGTCGGTTCCCTCCGCGTCCTCGCTCCCGAGTCCGGGTGCGCCTCCCAGCTTACAGTCGCTGTATTGGACCAAATCTGCGTCTTGAGCCCCGAAGAGCGTCTGCCTTTGCAGGGCGTCATATCCATAGAAGTTGCCGGACTCGCCGTGGCACGTCACCGCACAAGGACTCTGCTGGTACGGATTGCTGGGCAGTGTTGAGGCGCTATGGTGATAGAAGTCCTGGATCTGAGGAGCGTGCTGGAAGGTGGCACCGGAGCCCGGACCGTACACCACAGTGGGCCGGCTTCCGGCGAGGTCCTGCGCGAAGCCACACTCATAATAATTTGGGCGTAACGAGTCGCCGCTTTTATATTTGGAGAATAGTGAGTTGACGAAATATGAACTCATCTTTTGCTGATTGTTTTTTTTTCTTCCCCCGTCTGTAGAGTCGGAGTATAAGTGAGCGGCGGCGCTCTGTTGTGTTTGTCTGCTTCGGTTGTGTTTTCAGGCAAGAGAGCAGGAGCACCACCACGCGAAGAGAGACGGAGGGAAGGGAGAGAGTGAACGGAGAGTCTGTTGTGGTGTTCCCCCTCACGGCCACAACTGACGAGCTGATCTCGGTGACGACAAGCAGCCGCAGCGGGACCAGACAATGCCGCCGCCACAAAAACAACAACTTTCACACCGATTCCATGAAACCTCCAGCGATGAAGAAACCAGAGAATGGGAAGCGGACGAGGAAAAACTGGCGCGCATCACAATTCCGGTGTTAGCGTTGAAAGCTGGAGCCCTGTCTTGCTCTCAAACGGCTTTTCTGTGATTTACTCTTCTGCAAATGACTTGTTTCATATTCTCTCTCCCCCTCTCACACACGCGCGCTCACTCTCTCTCCATCCCCCCTCTCCCTGTTCTCCTCCGTAGTATGTGTGTTTCGGGATAATTTGCATCTATTATCAGCTCTTCGTCCCATTGGCTTCTCCGTGCACGAACAAACACGCACGAGCGTGCGCACACTCGCTGCACTTTCCGCTGGCGTCGGCTGGCGAGTGTCTAATGCAAAGAGAGCGGGAGGATGGAGAGATCGAAGAAGAGAAAATGAGGCGGAGAATTGTGTGCGTGCGCGTGTGTGTGTGTGTGCGTGTTTGCGCGCGAGCTTGTGTGTTAATAAAAGTTTTAACCAATCGTACACACATCACAGCCACAGCACTGAAAATTATAATTGAAGGGAGATAAGAGGTTGTCTTCTATGCATTGCATCATTAAGAACACCACGTCCCCATTAATTGCCAAGCACTTCTTTCCTCTCCCATGTGTCAATGCAAGCGTGGCTTTGGCTTTGGAAATAAACGATCTGCAGAGTTTGGAAGGTGCGTTCTGATCATTTTATAAATATGATCTTCATATACACGCGAGAAGGGGGGCTAGGTGGTTAATAAGCCCAAGAAACGGCTGTAAACAGTTTAAGCAACTATAAAGTCCCATAAAGCTGACGCGGTATAGTGTTTGCTTGTTTACGTCCTCACAGCAGAGAAGCACAAAGGGGGGTTATGAGCGCCCTTTGCGAGAGCAGAGGCCGTAAATGCCCTTAACCGAGCAAGAATACCGCGGGTTTTAATTGTCGTTTCGTCATGCAGATGTCGTCCCTCCTGTCGAGGTGTGAGCGGTGGACGACGGGATGAGTCCTAACGAGGGTTAAGTTGTAGGATGGCTTCCCTTCTAGATTTCCTGACTTGATGACAAAAGTGCATTGGTTGAACCCGAATGTTTAATGTGGAGTATAGATGTATCAATAAAGCCCGTAAATCATTTTTCAATCGCTGAATGTGGTCCTCCGCGGCATCCGTATGACCGTAAATGATTTGTGTGCGTGTTTTTTTTTAATTCGTCATTGTTTAAGTCAAATTGAAGTTGTATCTACATAGTCAGGATTACACAAAGCTGACGTGATGCTAAAATGTTGCCAGGGCCAATTTGAAATGGCTGCTGCGTAAATCACATATACGCTCGATTTCTCAAGGAGTACATCAGTATTGTCAGATCAATTACTCGAACTGGCCAGACTTCATCGCATCACTTTTAACATCACGGTTAAGTTCAGTGCAGTTGTTTTTAAAGATTGCTGTTTTTACTTGCCTATAAAACAAATCGGGAGGTTCGACCACGAGAGGTATCCGCCGTCACCTGAAAGCTCGCATTCGGTGAAAACGTGAAATATGTTTGTTCGTTTGTTTCTCCTATACGATTAAACCCACTTCTACCACAAACGTCCAATCCACCACGGAAACGATTTGACCTTTTAATATCATTTTCTGTTGAATCCCATTCAGTCAGTTGTACACGCGTGAAAGAAAGAAAGAAAGAAAGAAAGAAAGAAAGAAAGAAAGAAAGAAAGAAAAGGACCACACACAAAAAAACAAAAAAAAAACAATGCCCACATTGTGAACGTAACATGGCGTATGGTGTGTTTGAACGTCCACCAGAGCCTGCGTAAAAATGGGAGCCGTTTTGGTCTTTTCCTAATAATGGAGCAAGAGCGCCATCAAGTGGCCTTTTAAAATCAGAACCTATCCGTGTCATGACTTGCTTCAGAGTTCAATTCCACGCATCACACGCACGGCTCTAAAATAGAATTGCGTGCACCAGTTGGAGGTGATTAGCAGTTGTGATTGGGGACTTATGAGAAAAAAAGACGAATCAGTCACTCACAGGAATGATTGCTGATGTAATCAATTCAATTAAAAGTGTCCTGTGAAGGATATGCACTACAACGTCAAATGTTTGGCATTATTATTAATTTTATTATGATGATGATGATTATTATTATTCTTAGTAGTAGTAGTAGTAGTAGTGGTAGTAGTAGTATAATAACAGTAGTCAATTTTCCTTCATCGTGTTCACATAGTCGCGAGAAGCTGAAGCCTATCCTGTCTGAATTTGGACAAAAGGCAGACTAATCTCGATTATTCGTTTTTATTTGATTTATTTATTTATTTATTTGTGAAATGTGAAAATGATCACTCAAAAGAAAAAGAAAAACGGATCCCTAATACAACGTAAATTGGCTGTCTAAATTGAAAGGCTGAAAACGCAACAATGCGGCGATTTGAGATTTATTTTAGACAATTTGAATTATAATTTTATGGAATAGATTTTTTCCACGCATGGATACATACGTGTTGTCAATCATTTAGGGTAAATCCATTGATATACCACTTTATTAAATAAAAATGTTTTAAAATAAAATATCTTTGTATAAAATAACAAATATCTCTTGCTAAAACTAAGTGGATTCGTAATCATAACGGCGATTCCACTTTTATCAATGATTAACATAACTAAATTGTTAAAATACTTCTTTAAAATTAATTCAAGCATATATTTAGTTTTAGTAATAACAGCACAAATCGGATGACAATCGGATTACTTTTTTTAAACTCAAATGTCAATCAAAACCATCAACGGGCGCGCATGTGTGAGAGTGTGTCTTCGTGCGAGTGCATGCGTGTGTGATGTTTGTATGTGTGTGTGTGCGTGTGTGCGCGCGCGTGTGCGTGTGTGTGTGTGTTTGTGTGTGTGTGTGCGTGTATATATGTGTGTGTGTGAAATGTGTGCGTGTGTGTGTGCCAGCCTGTTAAATTATAGGCTACTAACAGACTGTAAAAAGCAATTGTTACCATTATCTGAAGAGCCTGCAGCACATTTCCTGAGTTTCCAGCCTTTGGAAATCTGAGTCGTTATCAGACGAGCACAGTGAAATCAGAGAACACAAGAGCGCCATGTCAAATAACAAAACTACCAACATGTATTGGAAAGCCGTCATGGCCTCTGATGCGGCACGTTTGCTTCCGGTGTGCAAACCCACAATTTGTTCTGCCCTACCAACGTTTCAGGCTCCAGTCCGGGCCACGTCCTGAACCTCTGGACCGGAAGGTGAGACCCCAGTGTTTCAGGCTGTCCTGTCTTGGGTGCTTTTCTTTGGAGTGGGGGGGATTTTATGACCCGCGCTGTAAGGATGCAACTGAGGAAGACAAAGGGAGGTCGGACGGGAGACACAACACAGCAACACGTAGACACAAGCGGCCTGCAAAGATATCCCCGTAGAGGCAAACGGCAGCAGAACCATAAAACTCCCCTTTGAAAGGACGGCGAGAGGAGGAAGGAGACGCTTTCTCCCCCACCACCCACCACCCACATTCCCCCCCCACGTTGCTGCAATCCAAAGTTCAGCACAAAACAGAATTGGGCCATATTGTTTTCAACCTGAAAGATCATATTTAAAAAAAAAATCAACACACTGATTCCGACGGTTTATATAGAAGGTAGAATATGCAAGTCAGGTGACATGATCCGGGAATTTGTTGTCTCCTGCCATCAATCTCATCATCGAAAAATTGATCAAGAAGCGGGCTCTGCGTTCCCTCTAATACTTTCAGTGCGTGTCTGTCTCCATACTGCCGCCTTCCCCTTTCTCTCGGCGTGTTTGCTTTACAGCCGTTTAGTTCTTAACCTTCAGAAATTTATACGCTATAAACTTTTATTGCCGTCATATCATTTTATTGCGGCACACCGCATTGAATTCCCTTTCTCTCTGCTCTCTTGCTCTTCTTTGCCGTCTTACTGTTTTTTTTTACGACAGTCGACGGCGGCTTCTTCCAACCATCCAGTGCTGCATCCCTCATCACCTTCATACCCAACGCCGCTTTTTTTCCCCCCTTTCAGACCCCTGGTGCGTGCTGCACTTCCTTCTCCTCTCGTAGTTTCCGTGTTTGAAAATAGGACGTGTGCAAAACAATGACGGCGAGAGGAGAGGGGGCGCGGGGGGGGGGGGCATGGCAGAGCTTTAGAAGTCAACCGAGATCTTTTTTTGATATTGTAAATATAACCACTATTATTATTGCAAATGTTTTCCACATACCAACGTGCAATTATTAAACAATCAATTATCAATATCACTGTCTTCTCGTTAGGTGAGCAACTTTGGGTGAGGTGAATTCGATCTGCCTCCGATGCGTGCGCATGATCCATGGACATAAAAAATAAAAAGCCCAATGAGGAGCTCCGGGCCACTGTTTTCAACACGGGGGTCCACTGCGTGATTTATTACATTTATAATCTTTTACACACTCTCAAATGAATACTCAAGATTTTCTAACGAGTTTTCAAACATGAAAGATGGTGTGATATTTTCTGTACTCCTTGATAACAACAGACTTCGGTATGGTTGAAAGGCAGATGACACCCTGGACTAGTCGCCAGTCAGCCTCTGGCCACATATCGAAAGCAACTCACTGAGTGGAAACTGAGCCCGCACATTTAGCCACAATACTATATAATGACGATACAATTTCTTTAGATCGACTGTCTTTTTTCCAACTTTTAGTGGTATTCAAAATGGACTCTGGTCACCCAAATACGAGTTTAACGCCTGAATGAATCATCCTGTGCAAGGAACTATAATTATGCACTCATTCTACATCATAATATATATTGGGGCCATTATTGTCAGAAAAACTCAAC